CATGCTAGGAGAAAAGGGAGCTGCTGCACCTGTCAAGAACTCAGCCTTGGTTGCATCTGATGCAAGTGCGAACAAGGTATTTGCCACCAATCAGAGAAGGCAGGATGAGAGGCCTCGGGTGTGGTGTGATTTCTGCAATAGGCCACGTCATACCCGAGAAACCTGCTGGAAAATCCATGGAAAGCCAGCAAAATGGAAAAGCAGCAAGCCAGGCGATGGATCTAATCGTTCATTCCCTTCGGGAAACGAAGCTGAAACAGGTCCCTTCTCCAAGGAGCAGATGGATCATCTTCTCAAATTGCTAAAGTCCAATTCTTCACTAGGTACTCCTAGTTGTTCCCTTGCTCAGACAGGTAGAAATCCTAACGATTTATCCTGTAGCCTAGACTTTGCACCATGGATTATTGACTCCGGGGCGTTTGATCATAAGACGTCTCTTTCTCACCTTTTTGATACTTATTCACCTTGTTCTGGGAATGAAAAAATTAGGATTGCCAATGATAGTTTTTCCCCTATTGCAGGAAAAGGCCAAATAAAAATCTCAGAAAATATAATTCTGAATTATGTCCTTCATGTTCCAAAATTGGCCTGCAATTTGTTATCTGTCAGCAAATTATCTAAAGACTCTAACTGTCGTGTTATCTTCTTTTATTCTTATTGTGAATTTCGGGACCAAAATTCGGGGAGGACAATTGGCAGTGCTAAGATGATCAATGGTCTTTACTACTTCAATAACAATTTTTCCAGTAATAAAATAGCTCATGGCTTTAATAGTAGTATTAGTTCAATTTCTGCTCGTAAACAAATAATGCTTTGGCATCTGAGACTAGGACATCCTAATTTTCATTATCTAAAACATTTGTTTCCTAGTTTGTTTAAAATTTTGGATTGTTTTTCCTTTCAATGTGAGAATTGTCATTTATCTAAAAGTCATCGAACTAATTATTTTTCAAAAGAATATAATGCTTCAAAACCCTTCTACTTGATTCACAGTGATGTGTGGGGACCCTCTAAGGTTACCACGGTGTCTGGAAAAAAATGGTTTGTAACTTTCATAGATGATCACACTCGATTATGCAAGGTTTATTTGATGAATGTGAAATCTGAAGTTGAAAAACTGTTTAAGGATTTTTACAAAATGGTCGAAAACCAATTTCAGTCAAAAATTAGTATACTACGCTCCGATAATGGAACTAAGTATTTCAATAAACATTTGGGAAGTTTTTTAAAGGAAAAGGGTATTTTACATCAATCTACTTGTCGGGATACTCCTCAACAAAACGGAATTGCAGTAAGAAAGAATAAACATTTACTTGAGGTAGCTCGTGCCATGATGTTTTCTATGCATGTGCCAAAATATTTATGGGGAGAGGCTGTTTTAACAGCATCCTATTTAATTAATAGGATGCCTACCCAAGTTCTTAAATATGTCACACCCTTAGATTATTTCAAACAAACCTTTCCCGAATGTAGAATTAACTCAGATTTACCATTGAAAATTTTTTGTTGCATTGTTTTTGTTCATATACCTAGCACGTTTCGCTCTAAACTTGACCCAAGAGCTGAAAAATGTGTCTTTATAAGTTATGCTCCAAATAAAAGAGGATATAAGTGCTATAATCCACAAATGAAAAAAATTCAGGTGAGTGATGTTCAATTTCTTGAAAATCAATCCTTTTTTAGCAAAAATTATCTTCAGGGGGAGAGAGAAAGGGAAGATGACAATTTTTGGGAGACTATAGCCCTTTACCGAATCCCATTCTCTCTGAAACTGTTTTTCCTGACTTACAAAAACAACTTGTTAAAGATATTGAAAATGAAGTTCCAAGTCAAGGTTTACCAAATGTAGAAAAATCACAAACAGGGGGAGAAATACTACAGGAAGATCCAACTAAACCTGAGCTACTGGTTTATACTCGGAAAAAAAATCACCAAGGAAATAACGACCAACAGATCATCCAACCACAAGGTCAATCAGAATCTCCAAGTGAAGGTCCTCCGGGTAGTTCAGGTAATTCTAATCCCATTCTCCTTCCAATTTCTATTCCTATCACAACTCCTCCATCATTTTCATCTGATCCTTACCTCCGATTCTATCCCTCCTACTGCCTTACCAAAACCGAATCCCACAGATCTTGGCATTCCCATAGCCATTAGGAAAAGACCCCAAGAATGCACCAAACACCCCATTACCAACTATCTATCCTATCACAGACTCTCCAATAGCCATAAAGCATTTACTTCTAAAATATCTAACCTGTTTGTGCCAAGAACCATCACGGAAGCTCTAGATGATCCGAATTGGAAGTTCGCAGTTATGGAAGAGATGAATGCTTTGAGGAAAAATGGTACTTGGGAAGTAGTTTCAATACCAAGGGATAAGAAGATTGTAGGGTGCAAATGGGTGTTTACAATAAAATGCAAGGCTAATGGTAGCATAGAGAGGTATAAGGCAAGGCTTGTAGCGAAAGGGTTTACACAAACCTTTGGAATTGACTACCACGAAACCTTTGCTCCAGTAGCCAAAATAAACTCAATACGAGTTTTGTTATCCTTGGCTGTAAATTTCAATTGGCCCCTACTCCAGTTAGACATTAACAATGCCTTCTTGAACGGAGATTTAGAAGAAGTCTACATGAACTCACCTCCAAGATTTGAATAGAGATTTGGAGAAGGCAAAGTTTGCAAGTTGAAGAAATCATTGTACGGTCTCAAACAGTCTCCAAGAGCATGGTTCGAACGATTCGGGAAGGCTGTAAAGAACTATGGCTACTGTCAGAGTCAAGCAGATCATACCATGTTCTATAAGCACTCAAGAGAAGGTAAAATTGCTATCTTGATTGTTTATATAGATGACATAATCCTCACAGGTGATGATAGTATTGAACTGGAAAGATTAAAGGAGTATCTCGCTAAAGATTTTGAAGTCAAGGATTTGGAGTATCCTCAGCATGGAATTTGCCAGTAAGGTATTTTTGTCACTCAATGCAAATATGTACTTGATTTGTTAAATGAAACAGGCTTACTTGGATGTAAAGCAGCTGAGACTCCAACCGAGCCCAACCAAAAACTACAGCCCGCAAGAAAGGAGAATGTGGTGCATGGAACAGTTTCAGAGACTTGTTGGAAGACTTATCTACTTATCCTATACTCGTCCTCACATAGCTTTTGCAGTAAGTAGAGCGAGCCAATTCATGCACTCACCAGGACAAGAACACTTCGAAGCGGTATACAGAGTCCTGAGTTATCTAAAGGGAACTCCTGGTAAAGGCCTCCTATTCAGGAGACGGGGACACTTGCAAATTGAAGTCTACACTGATGTAGACTGGGCTGGGAGCATTACTGATCGAAAATCAACTTCTGGCTACTGCACCTTTGTTGGAGGAAACTTAGTTACTTGGCGCAGTAAAAAACAAAACGTGGTGGCTAGGAGTAGTGCTGAAGCTGAGTTTAGATCAGTTGCCCATGGGATTTGTGAAGTTCTGTGGATCAGGAGACTGCTAAATGACTTAAGAATATCGAGCACCTCACCTCTGAGTGTATACTGCGACAACAAGGCAGCAATCTCGATTGCCCACAATCCTGTTCTTCATGATAGAACGAAACATGTGGAAGTTGAAAAGCACTTTATTAAAGAAAAGATTGAGAATGGTTTGATCTGCATGCCATATGTCCCAACTACGGAGCAAATTGCAGATATACTCAAAAAGGGTCTACACAAAAGACAATTCGACTACTTGGTTGGCAAGCTGGCAATGGAAGACATCTTTAATCCAGCTTGAAGGGGAGTGTTGAAAAAAGTAGTTATTTGGCTCTGAGATATTGCCGGATCCTTAGGGATTTTCTAGCTGTAAATAGTTAATTATGTACAAAATAGGAGAGTTGACTTCTAGCTGTAAATAGTTAATTATGTACAAAATAGGGGAGTTGACTTTAGATTAGAATCAATAGTTATTTTTGTTTCCTTTTCTTACGCTATGTATCACCTATTAATATAGGTTCTGTATAATTCTTTGATATACGAGAAATATACAAAGAAAATAATTCTCTCCCAATATTTTTTCTTCTCGTTTTTAACAATCTTAGAAAAAGGCAACAGATTGTGGTGAACTGGTGTTGCATGTGCAAGAAAGCAGAGGAGTCAGTGAAGCACAATCGATATGCATTGGGTGTCTCGCGATTCCACGGTGGACATGATCGAGGCTTGGAGAGGGTGTATAGTGGATAGCTGAGCTAGGGATGCTTGGAGGGCCACTCCCCTTTGGGCTTGCGGTGTAAGAAAAATAGGAGATCCTTTGATGGAGAAGAGATTCTTCTTTGGTCTCTCAAGTACATCAGTATTAGTTCTTTATTCTTTGGGAAATTGACAAAATTATAAATCTATGGGGGATTTTGTGTATTTTGTTGATAGCTTGAAATTATAGTTGACAATTGTCCTATTTTTGTGTATTCTCTAGGAAGCACTTCCCTCTTGGGCGTCTTTTAATGTAACCTTACTTGCCAAAAAATTCTACATATTTTTTTTTTTTATAAGTAAAAATGTAACAGAAAGCGTTCAAAAGGAGAATGCATCCCAAGAGCTACACAGAAGCCGAAGCCAAAGAAGGGGGATTCTAAGGACCCAAGGAACACATTGGTTTGAATTGTTAAAGCCATATTATCTTTCTATATCATTGAAAATTTTAAAATTCATATATTCTATTATAGTTAAGAGTTAATTTTAAACCTTTCGACTCTAATGCCTTTCTCCAAGTTCCTAATTTTATTGCTAAAGTTTCCTTAGAATTATCAATAACACCAAAGCTAGCAATAATTGATAAAGTGACAAACTAATTGCAATATTTAGTAGAATCCTTACTAAAGAATTTAACAAAGAGAAAAGAAGACTTAGATAACAAAATTAAGGAATGCATATCAAATGCAACATAAATAATTTTTATACCACAAAAACTCATTCCTCCAATTCTGGATGTGTAATGATGTGATTAATGGATATATACCTCTCTTATAAAACCCGCAGGCTTCTTGTAAGTAGATTCTCCCGTTAAAGAATTATAATAGTATACAGCTCCTGTTTCAGTCTTATGGGCAGTCCAGGCATCCACTTGTTCATTGACCGCAGCACCATCCTTGATGCCAACATCATTGGCATGTTTACTGTTATCTGAAGAACCCCGCACAAAGTTAATAAAATAGAAAAATAACATAGGTGAAATGGTCGGTATCAAAATTACTCATGAAATTTCAAGCATACCAATTCCAGGAGGTAATTCACGCTGCATCCCTGAACTTTCGGACTGATTACCAGAAACCGCATAAGATGCAGGAGATCCCAAAGGAGTAACGCCAGGGGGGCGAGAATCAGGCAATGGAACAGAAGGAAGAAGCATGCCACGACCTGGCAAAGCAAAAGGAGCAGAAAAAGCTGCAGGATATGGTACAAATGGTGGTCTTGGCAAGCTACTGATCTGAGGAGGCTGTAACCACAGTCCCTGTGAAGGAGCAGCAACAGGAGGTACAGATGGATATGGAGGATATGCTTGATGTTGAACATCTGGATTTGATAAAACAGTAGTAGTTGGAATAATGTGTCTTGGGAGTGCTGAAGAAGAATCTGTAGCAGTAGATGGGGCAGTCACATTGGATGATGATGGGGCAGAAGAAGCTATTCCAGGCGGACCAGGGGTCACAGGAGCACCAGAAATTCCTGGTGGCACGTAAAATGACGTTGTGGGCGCCCACAAAGTTGGTGGCCCCAAGTTAGGAGTTGAAGATATGGCCGTTGCAGAACTTGAAGCGCCATAAGCAGGCTGTGAAACAGACTGAGAAACAGATGGTGTAGACGACATAGAACCACTTTCTTGTGTAGGACGATTCTACAATCAGAGAAGGGACAGAATGGTTAGATGTTAAGACATAGACAGTCAAGCAATCAGTTAGGACTCCACTGCTTCACTAGTTTTATCAACTCTCAGACCATAAATAATAACACATTGGTCTTAGACAAACCACAACTTGATATGTCCACCTTTAGCTGGTGCACCAGTATCTATTTAAATAATATGTATAAGAACAAATTTACTTATGCCCTTCTCAGCCTGTTACAATGTCAGTATATTTGAAACTAATAAACTAATTTTTTATATACCGAGCTCAAACACAAATTTGTAAATAGTAAGTTCACAAATAAACAAATAAACCCAGCCATGTGCCATATCTAGATGTTAAGAATTTAGTTCCATGTCCTAGATCAGTCATCAGACCACAGATTAATGCACAAAATCTTTAATGAGCAATAACTTAAAACTCACATTTACTACTAGTAGCTTCATTTAGAAAAACCTGAAGAATGGAGGGTATTCCACAAATGATCATAGCTACATAGAAACTATGAACTATAGACAAGGCGATCCATATGTTAGCAATACAGTGAACTCATAGAACTAGTTAACACCGTCAGTAATCCACAATACCAATACATAATGAAGCCACATTTGAACCAATTCAAAAAGTGATTTTTAATTGCCTGCATAACTTCTAAATTTGAAATTATAAATACTTACCCAAAGTAGAACTTCAAAAACCTTTTACATATATGCTACATGTTTTGAGGTATTTTTCAAACTCAATTAATATTCTCAATTAATTCCACTTCGACTCTTCTATACATAAAATATAACAGAAAATCAATGTTCAAAATCTTGAGCTACAGGTAACAGAACAGAACATGCTGGTAAAAATCAGCTCAAGTAACCTGGGGCTGCCTCACATGCTCAATCAACATAATGATCCACTTAAGGCAGCCTCAATGACTAGCATCCACCCAGTATAATAGTCATAGCATGAAGGATGGAAATCGAGTTAATACACATACGGATTTCAAGGTTTGATCTTTCTGCATTGACTGAGGATTCCCATTAAAAGAAAAACTAACAGCATTTGATGATGCTACATTTAGGACACCAAGAGACGAGGGTACTGGAAATGGCATGATTAGTGGAGCTGTTCCAGGTACAAATGAATTAGGACGTGCTGACTGCCCAGGAACAGGAGGTTGCAATGATGCTGCAGCTGACATAGTGTTCTTTCCTCCTTCAGAATGACCTGGAGCAATGGGCTGTCATGTGGCAAACAAAGAGGTCGTAAAAATTACATTAGTAAGAACAATCCTATAGAAACTCCTGAAAACACAAGTAATAAGCAAAACCTGACATTGCTATACTTGATAAGTACATCAAGTTCAGACACTTGAGTCACTGGTAATTCCATTTTCAGGAGATCTAGGTTGACATAACACCACCAAGGGCTGTACCCTAATAGTATCTCCTCAACCTTCTAATGTAGGTTGAGAACAATCCTATAGAAACTCCTGGAAAAACAAGTAATAAGCAAAACCTGACATTGCTATACTTGATGAGTACATCAAGTTCAGACACTTGAGTCACTGGTAATTCCATTTTCAGAAGATCAAGGATTCAAGTCCCGTTGGGAGCAAAAAGTGGGTGTGTGAGTTTCTTGCCATGGCAAAAATAAATAAATAAATAAAAGTTGACATAGTAATAGATAAGTAAAAAGAACAAAAATTTTCTAAAGGAACATGTAATGTTTAAAAAATCCCATAGAAACAACTCCAAAAAGGGAGAAAAGAAAGAAGACAAGTGATTCCATATGAATGTGAAAGCTAACTAAGGATGAATTGGGTTTATGTTTCAGTAACTGAAACACTTGTTGAAAGTTTTTATGTTCTTTTTCAACCATTTTACAATTTCGTCAGGAATTAAACTGTAAGACAACTAGGACTGACAAAAAAAAAACATATGCATGCAGCATGGCCTGTCAATCCAACTAAAATCAGTCAACAGGATTGTCCAACTTCCAGGTGATCATATTTCCAAAACGAAATCAATAGAGGAGCAGACTCATCTAGACATTGTTGATACAAAACAACTGTATCACAGGAAGCACCCGGTACACCAGCACAACTTCTAACCGCAAAAGTTAAAAATTAGTCCAGTGAACATTAGAAATGACTTAGAGTTATTATATTTCAGAGTTGGTTGTTATTTTCTTTGGTTATTTTACCCTAAGGGTATTATTGTATTTGTCTCTATTCTAATATAAATATGTGGCAAGGTGAAGGGTCAGTGGAAATCAGCCGTCTGCCCTAAACCTTTTCTCTAATCACTTTCTCTTCCTCTCTCCTCTTACTTCACACCTAAATCTTCTCAGTATTATATACTTTAACTTGGTATCAGAGCAACTGATCCAAAGTCATTTAAACTCCTTGAAAATCATCTGAAAGTCGCTGGGCGATCAGACCCTTCAAATCGAGGTGCTGACGTCATCATCTTCAGGCTGACGTCAGCCTGCGCTGAACCTATCTCCAGGATCGCCTCTTCCTCCTGGTAATTATGGTGATTTTTCTGCAATTTTGAGACCATCTGGTACATCATTTCTAATTTTGAAGTGTATTTCCGGAATTTTGGTTTCTTTTTTATCGATTGTTTCATGGATGAGTTTTGGCCCAAAATTTCTGGAACTAATCCACACACACAGGTGCGGCTAAGCCTCTGAGATTGTTTGGTTTGATTTATGAAGAGTCTATTGCCATTCTTGATTGATTTGGTCGCTTCAGAGGTGGGCGACAGCAATTTTTTTTTTTTTGTTTTGTGGTTCATTGCTACACTAAATTGTACCCAGCAGGGTTGTTTTTAATTATTTTAGGTTGTTATCTTCACTAAATAGTTTGGTGTTTCTTTTCGGGGTCTTTTTCCTTCCCTAAATTGTATTCGGCAGTGGTGTTTCACTGTTTCTCCTCTTTCTTAGTTGGGATTTTTCATTCACTTCCATTCAATTTGAGTTTTGGCCTGGATTAGTTGTGTTTGATTTGCCATGGCTGAAGAAAAACCACCACTGGTGAAGGTTGATGATATGCCCAAATCTATTACCTCGAAGAAGTTGAATGGTTTGAATTACCTAGCTTGGTCACATGCTGTGAAAAAATTTTGTGTGGGAAGTCAAAAATTGAAATATTTGAGAGATGATCCACCTACCAAGACGGACCCAAAATATGAGGACTGGATGTGTGAGGATTCAACTGTTATAGGATGGCTCTGGCATAGTATGGAATCTGATGTTTGCTTCTACTGTTGAATTTTGTGACTCCACTAAGAAGATTTGGGACTCAATTGCAGAATCTTACTCGCAAAAGAGTAATGTTTCTTATGAGTTATATGAGAAATTTTTGACTACTAAGCAGTCTGGAAAATCATTGTCTGAATACTACAGCATCTTGAAAATTTTGTGGGGTCAATTTTCGTGGTGGTCGTGGAGGCCGTGTTTCTCGTGGTGGTTCTAGAGGGGATGGTTGCATCAGTGGTCGTGGCGACAGGAAGTGTGATCATTGTGGTGGCACTAATCATGCTGAACCTTACTGTTGGGAGAAGCTTGGCAAGCTGAATGATGCACATCAGGTCATTGATGGTACTACACAGCCACAATCGACTCCTACCCTATCTGGAACTCTTGGTTCTGGTTCACATGATGCACTCACTACTCAGTTGAGCGAGTTGGTTCAGACATTGTGCAATGCTCTTCCATCTGCTTCAGCTGCTACATTGGCTGATTCAGGTAATATTTGCTTGTGTGGCCCATTCTCCTTTATCATGGGTTATTGACTCCGGAGCAAGCTCCCATATGTCTGGTATACCCTTTATCAGGTGTTCTTCATCCCACCAATTCCTTATCCTTACCTTCTAGTCTCTATGTTCCTAACTTACCCTTTAACTTGCTTTCTGTTAGTCAGTTGACTAAATCATTATATTGTTCCGTAACCTTTTCTCCTAACTCTTGTGTTTTCCAGGCCTCAAGACGAAGAAGATGATTGGTTCAGGACATGAGAAGGACGGCCTATATTATTTGGATGCTAGTGGCTCTTCCTTCATTTCATCTGCTTTGTGTGCTAAAGTGTCACCTATTCAATGGCACTTTCGTTTGGGTCATCCATCAATGGCTAAACTCAAGTTAGCTATTCCTAGTTCGAGTTATGTGTCTAGTTTAGAATGTGAAGCTTGTCAGTTGGGCAAGCATCACTGTAGCTCTTTTCCTAGTAGTAGTCATGATCGTCAGTCTGAGTCTTTGTTGTAGTCCACACGGGACATATGGGCACCTTCCCGCATTTCTAGTTTGAATGGATTTCATTATTTTGTTATATTTGTGGATGATTATTCTCATATGACATGGTTATTTTTAATGAAAGAAAGGTATAAGCTACCGTATATCGTTTCTAAATTCTATAATGAGATTTCTGCCCAATTTGGTAAACGCATTAAAGTCCTTCAATCTGATAATGCATTAGAATACACTCAGTCCGTCGTAGTTTCTTTCTTGTAATAATCATGGAATTATTCATCAAACGAGTTGTGCTCACACCTCTCAACAAAATGGCGTTGTTGCACGAAAGCATCGCCATGTGTTGGATGTTGAGCGCACCTTGATGTTTAATATGCAGGTACCAAAACATTTTTGGAGTGATGATGTTCTTGCTGCATGCCATCTCATTAATCGTATGCCCTCTGTTGTTTTAAATCAGCAGTCTCCGTTTTCTCTTTTATACCCTAGTCTCTCACCTTTTCAGCTCACTCGTGTTTTTGGTTGTGTTTCCTTTGTTCTTATTCTTGATCCTGGTCGGGACAAATTATATCCTCGCGCCCGCAAATGTGTTTTTCTTGGGTACTCTTGGACTCAAAGAGGTTATCGTTGTTACTGTCCTGAGTCTCGTCGTTACTTTCTCTGCGTCGATGTTACATTTTTTGACGTTTTTTGAGTCCACCTCTTTCTTTTCCTCATCTAGTCATCCCTTATCTACAGATCTCATATCTTGTCGTGAGGGTGAGCCTTATTTGCCTACTCTTCCTGCACCACTAATTTCTCCACCTATTTGTCCTTCGACTAATCCTCCCTTGCAGGTTTATCAACGCTCCCAGCATAGGTGTGTTGTTTCTTTGGGTCCCGATACCACATCTTCCCTGTCAGAGGTTCCTATTTCTTCCTCTACTATGATGATGAGATACCTATTGCATTACGATGAGGTAAGCACAGTTGTACTCAGCATCCTATTGCTCATTTTGTGTCCTATAATCGTGCTTCACCTTGTTTACAGTCTTTTGTTTGTGCATTGCCCTCTATTTTTGTACCCACATCTTATAAGCAGGCCATGTCTTCATCTGGATGGAAACATGCTATGGATGAGGAAATGAGTGCCCTTCATAAGAATCAGACTTGGGAGCTTACTACTCTTCCTCCTAGAAAACAAACAGTAAGTTGTCGTTGGGTTTATACGGATAAGTACCTTCCTGATGGTTCTGTTGAGCGTCTTAACTCTTAAGGCTCGCTTGGTTGCTAAAGGGTACACAAACTTATGGCATTGATTACTTAGAGACTTTTTCTCCTGTGGCTTGTACGGATCTTACTTTCTGTTGCTGTCAGTTGTTCTTGACCCTTATACCAGCTTGACATAAAGAATGCATTCCTCCATGGTGATCTTCAGGAGGAACTGTACATGGATCAGCCCCCTGGTTATGTTGTTGCTGGAAGAAAAAATCTTGTTTGTCGACTGCAAAAGGCTCTGTATGGTCTAAAGCAATCCCCCCTGCGTGGTTTGAATGCTTTAGTGCAGTTGTACTTGCTTATGATTTCCACCGTTATACTTCTGATAATTCAGTTTTTGTTCGTCACTCTTCTACGGGTACTATTATTTTGATTGTATATGTGGATGATATAATTATCTCTGGAAGTGACTCCGTAGGTATTGCTGGTTCGAAAAAACATTTGGGCCAGCAATTCTATACTAAAGACTTGGGTGTTCTTCGTTATTTTTTTGGGCTTGAGGTTGCTCATTCTCATCAGGGTATCTCTTTATCTCAAAGGAAATATGTGCTTGATCTTCTGTCTGAGACAGGTCTTTTATGTGCTCGACAGGTTGATACTCCTATGGATTCCACTAACAAGCTTAATGGTGAGCAAGGGGAACTATTTGCTGATGTTGGTAGATATCGGAGGTTGGTTGGAAAGTTGATCTATCTTACTGTTACACGGCCTGATATTACTTATGATGTAATTGTGGAGAGTCGGTACATGCATGCTCCTCGCCAACCCCATTTTAATGCTGTTTGTCGTATTTTACAATATCTGAAGAGAGCAGAGGTTTGTTGTATAAGCCTTCAGCTTCCCCATCTGTGACTAGTTTTAGTGATGCTGACTGGGCTGGTAGTCGTTCTGATCAGCGGTCCAATTCTGGCTATTGTACCTTTGTCGGTGGGAATCTAGTTACTTGGCGTAGAAGACGGGGAAATCTGTCAACCATCTTCTTATTCATTGCTCAGTGGCAAGGGATGTTTGGACCATGTTTTTTTATTGCTTTTGGTATTCCATGGGTGTTCTCAGATTCTACGGTTGACTTGCTTGAGACTTGGAGAGGGTGTACAATGGAGAGCCGAGTCAGAGATGCTTGGAGGGCCACTCCCTTGTGTTTACGGTGGGGTTTGTGGCGAGAGAAAAATAGGAGATACTTTGAGGGTGTGGAGTTTCCTATTTGGGCTATTAAGTATAGTATACTTTCTTCTTTATTTTTTTGGGTAGATGGGCGGGATTGTATGTCAGTGGATTGTCTTTTGGATTTTGTTGATAACTTGAAGCTTTAGTGTTGTCTTAAATGGCAATTGTATGTTTTTGGAGCGCTGCCCCTTCCAGCCTATTTATAAAATCTTTTCTTTTCTATCAAAAAAAAAAAAAAAAATCTAGTTACTTTGCGTAGAAAAAAGCAAAATGTTGTTGCCCATTCTAGTGCTGAAGCCGAGTATCGCGCTATGGCTCGTACTACCTCCGAGATGTTGTGGGTTCGTTCTCTCCATCAAGATCTTGGTGTCAATGTTCCTACTCCTATGCATATGCATAGTGACAACCAGGCTGCTATATTTATTGCTAGTAATCCTGTGTTCCACGAGCACACTAAACATATAGAGGTTGATGGTCACTTTATTCGGGACTTGCTGATGAAGAAACAGATTTGTCACTCCTTATGTTTGCTCGGATGCTCAACTGGGAGATATTCTCACGAAGCATTAGCTCATGCTTCCTTTCAACATTTGTCTTTCAAGCTGGGCGTGTTTGATTTATATGCTCCAGCTTGAGGGGGAGTGTAGTTATTATATTTCAGAGTGAGTTGTTATTTTCTTTGGTTATTTACCTAAGAGTATTATTGCATTTGTCTCTATTCTAATATAAATAGGTGGCAAGGTGAAGGGTCAGTGGAAATCAGCCGTCTACCCTAAACCTTTTCTCTAATCACTTTCTCTTCATCTCTCCTCTTACTTCTCACCTAAATCTTCTCAGTATTATATACTTTAACTACTTTCAAATTATACATAAAGGTTCTGGAAAGTTATGAAATTGATTTTCAAAAGCTTCAACTAATTAAATTTGATTCTTTAACTGGTACAACATGTTCTAGAAACTTTTGAATGGGTACAACGTTGAACTTTCCCTGTTAATACTTAAGATGTCAACTTTTTAACTGGTGCACACTGCAACCACAATGTTCCATTGGTTGCACTTGTTTCAGATTTCAGAAAGAATTGATTTCAATTAGGATTCGATTTATTCTTATTAAGTAATTAAGGCGAGAGTTTTATAATTAAAATATAAGTCTTCTATGGATCTCTTGAATATCTTTTACCCATAAATACAATTTGCTCATTATATTCAACATACACAAGACATACATTGAGATACACATAGAGCTCACTCCCTTGCATGCACAAAGAGGTGCTTTCCTTCATACAAAATTTTTCTCTCTGAGTTTTGGGTGAGTATATTATTTTCATATAAACTACCAGAGAGTATGTGAGTTTGTTGGTGGTTCTTGTGACTGATCAAGCAATCCTAAGAACTACGAAGCAGCAGATAACCAGATAATTATACAATAAGCCTGTGGAGATCGTACTTTGAGGAGTGCAACAAAAGATCACTAAAAAGGAGAAGTGGAACACTGAAGAAATGATTGTGTTGACATGGATAGCTGTGGGTTCTTGATTAGAAAGGTGATTGGAGTCAGGATTGGCAGGAAACATTCTATGCTGGGGATAAAACAACCATCCACCACCAGCTAGTTTTACTTTTAATGTGAATTCCTAACCAGGTGCCATTTGCAACAATCTCAATAAGAGTTATAGGTGCGTCATTTCTAGGTGGTCAAGGTAGTACGCAATCATAATATATTTTTCCTTTGAGCTGGGTCAAGGTTTATGTATACCTAGAGGAGAGGCTTTCCCAAGGAATCATAACCTTAGCTACCTAAACTGAGTAACATCTAAAGATCCCATGAGGCTAACCATCATGACTCATGTGGCAAGCCTTGATGATTAGCCAATAAATTGAATCATATGAGATTCCCAAGTCTGCTCCTGACTTAGCTGACCTGACCTAAGAAATGTTTCTCGAGTTTTTAATCTCACATCGAAGCTTTATTTGTTGAGAGAATGTCCTCACCAATCAGAGGCTTATCTGCCAATAAGAGGTCCTCCCAAGTTTTCCATCTTACCAAAGTCTATCAGTAAAGAGGAGTCATGGTGAGCTCAAGCAAGTTAGGTGGGGTGAGAAGTCAACCTGAGCCATTTTGCAGTTCTACAATAAGATAGGTAGTGTGCTAAATGGAGGGACAGATCTCACACTTATCCCATATTTGACTAGCATAGGCTTTTTTCTCAAGTCCTAGGTAGGTGAAATTGAATTGTTTTCATACATTTGTGCAGCAAATCGTAATAATTGTGCATGATATTACTAAAAAGTTATTCATGATAGAGGGGAGGTTCAAACCTGCACCTAAGGTTTTACAATCCCACCTAAATTTTTTTTTTTTGATAAGTATTTACAATCCCACCTAAATAACCACACATGTCATAGCACGGTACTTTCCTCAATGCTTGGCTTCATATCTTTATAGCTAAAACATTAATAATATGCCATACATATAAATATATATAGCCTCTAAGGGTGCCTTGAACAACAGAAATTTAAACAAAATATAATGTATCATATGCATGGACTATGGTCCACATTGGTTGGTCCCACCAAAACTTTCTGAGCTACAATTACAAATGAATATGAGGCTCTTCTCGGAGTTCATTGACCAGGAGGGGTTGATTGATTTGCCAATGGAGGGGGCTATTTACACATGGTCTAGTGGTAGAGAAACTTTTTACTTTATCTTGCTTGGATGATTGGATCAGTTCTTGATCTCGGGGGATTGGGAGGAGAGATTTTCGAATGTGACTCAGATGATTGCTCTCGCAATGCCAATGTCAGAACATATCCCTTTGTTATTGGATTGTGGGGGGTTGAGAAGGAGGAAGACACCATTCAGATTCAAGAATATGTGGGTTCATGCAGATGGGTTTCAGGAGAAGGTTCAGAGTTGGTGGGCGGGCTACGTGGTAATGGGCATAACCAAGTTTTGGTCCCATCAATGACACACAACCTTGACTGTATCCTGCTGTTCCATTGCAAATAATGGACAGTTTCCCTAGCATTAGCGTTAGTTCTATGAAAACTGTGACCCTTACCATGCCAGACTGGAGCTGATGGCTAGCATGTAATATGTTGTATGAAAATGAAGGCCCAGAGGATGCAGATAAACCAGGAACCGGCGGTTGGAGCAGTGCTGAAGAAGCTGACAATTTTGACTTCATAATCTACACTTAAACCAAGTCATTAGTTAAATTAAGCCTGAAAATATAATTCCAAGACTAGAAAAACAATATAAGCAGTTGACTAACAGGAGTAGGTGATGCTTGCTGAGAGCTTCCTGAAGTGGAATTAACGTTCGGAAGCACATTGTATGAGAATAAAGGTGGGGGAGCAGCATAGCCAGGAGAATTAACAATGTTTGGTTGGGTCGCTTCTTGCAATGAGTCACCCAGGGTACCACGTGGACCCTTTGAAGTAGGTGTACCTGCAACTGGAACAGGTGTAGGAGGAGTAGTCGAAGGGCCCATATATGGTCCTGCAACAGGTGAAGCAGAAACAGAGGCTTGAGTTGTTGAAGACTGCACTTCCTGTGGTAACCAACCTGGTGACGCCATTACTTGATATGACCAAAAACAAAAGATAAAACATCAATTCACAAAAATGATAATAACAGTAACTGCTATTAAAATAATTTAGCAAAAGTGTCTGTGTAAATACATTGCAAATTCAGCTTTTGAATTATTTTTGTACGAGGGCAAGGACAATAAGCTTTGACGCTTCAACTTCAAAAAGAGAGCTTCCCAGCACTTCAGCCACAGAACCTGTCAATGAGAAGTAATGTCATGTCAAACCCACATACAAATATTGCCCATCACAGAGATGAACTACAGTGGACATATGCCACCATTAAGGTATTAAAAAATGGTTGCAATACTACTTTGGCCTTCAAGTAGTTTTAAATTTTAAACGAGTTTAAAAATAAACTACAGATATACAGAGAGTAAAGCCCCGATTATACTCCCAAATTAAAGTTGCTCAAGTAATGGGAATTGCTGCAATTGAAGTGAAGAGACAGTGTAAAAGACAAAGGGGTCCAACTACAATAATTTTAAGCAATATGTTCCTAATATCTTGATTTATCAACCCTTCCTCAAGAAAGGATAAGGTTAAAATTGAACTTATTCATGAGACGATAGAAGTAGTAATTATTGTAGATGAGTAAGAGGAAACCAACTAAAATTCACGGTGAAGGGAATATCAAAACACTACTTGAAATGGTAAAAAGGAATAGTAGTGTGTAGACTCAACGGCAAAATGAGATTCATGTGGCAAGCCTAAAATCAGGGCAAGACGTACTACAGCTCCAATCAGCAGTACAAAGAAAGCATGGTCTGATAAATTTTTTGCCATTCTCAGTAAGCATTCTTAGATCAGATTGTCATAAGGAACCAAAAAGGATCAATAACAATGTAGCTTCAAGGGAGTCGAGCCAAAACCACTCAATAATCCAAACGATAAAGAAGATAACCCAGTAACCTACCATCCACTAGACATTCTTTTTTTCGAATAGATAGATAACAAAGTCAACTTACTACCACTACCTAGGTTGCTTATCCAAGAAACATTCCATAAAGACCAGTCAAAATAAGTAGCATCTGCACTTCAACAATTGGCATTAGTCACAGGCTCACAGCATGGCCTTCAAGATTGCAAATACTTTCTCTGCCTTTGTTGTGTCCTGAACCCTACACAAGGAGAAAGACTTCTCCGCACCTTTGATACTTCGTTATTTGTGCCATTAACCAATTGTATCATGTCACATAAGTAAAAGTGCTTTATTTTAGTGGATCCTATCACTACGTGTCAGTATCTAATCAGTTGGTGATACCACGTCTCTAATACAACCGGCACAATAAAGTTTTTCTCCTACACAAGAAGCCATCAACGGATTCATGTAGTTTATGAAGGTGCTGTCTCCTATACCTAACATTATGCACACTCTCTATTCTTCTATTAACTGGTATCCATCCGCCCCATGGTTGGGAACTATGATGCTGGTAGTTGGAAGACTCACTTTATGCATTTGTTATTTCTTAGTTGCCACCACCCTGTCACATAAAGAAAGCAAATCTAATAGCCATCTTCTAGAGCCTACATATAGATCTTAGTGGAATACGGCGACCTTTATAAAAATAAAAAGAAACAAACATTTGTTGAACTTTGGCAAAAATTAAATGCAAATAGAAATTGTCAATTTAACGCAACCAATGCTTCCTTGTTGACTTTTATAAAATACTACCATTTTTTTGTAATTAGCAAGAACATTAAAATACCCTTTATGCATATGAAATGACATGCTAACTCATACTACAAGAAAAATGACTTTTTTTAACAAGGGGCGAAAAAGATCTCTACGACGGGTATGGCCCGTTGTGGTATCCCCTGTTGTTTTTGACTAAGGGTGTTCTATGACGGATCCAGCCCGTTGTAGAAAGTAGACTTTCTACGATTGGCTGAACCCGTTGTAGGAAAAACACTTTCTACAATGGCCCGCACCCGTTGTTGAAAAAATACTTTCTAGGACGAGTCGTGCCAGTTGTAGAAAGAGTGTTTTCTGCTATGGTCCTAGCCCCTTGTAAAAAGTAATTTTTTATAAAATAAAAAATAAAAAAATTAATGGCTGCTTTACATTGTCCCCAACACAGAAATTAGTACAACTAAACACAACCAGAAGTCCACCCAAAGGCATATATATCCACACCAAGACTTATACAAATAACATGATACTAAATGAAAAAGAGTTCAAGTCGTTTGAAAAATGAAAATTTACATCTAAATCACACTAATCACAAATAAATAGATCCCAAACTTATTTTATATTCATTAAAGATTACAAAGTTCCTTTCATTGTCATCATTTGTACAAGGAATAGAAAAGTTTCAATACCAACACAACCAAGGCATTTCCCACCAAGCTCAGAGTGCAAAAACTTTCCCTCGAAAGCATTCAAGGCAAGACTCCACGCAGCCAAACATAACTGAAAAAAAGCAGAAAATTTTAGTCAAAACTCTCACTAAAGAACTCATGAAAGAAAAATCATATTAATAAATAGAAATCAGCACACACACAGATCTATGAATTGATATGCCTGAAAGAAGCGAAGTAATTGATGTTTCCTGATTTGTATGCATTATCACAAGCTTATGATTTCATTTTGGAAAATAAGCTTTTATTAGAAACAAAATTAAATGATGTGCTCTAGAAAGCTTTCATTAGAAACAAAATTAAATGATGTACTCTAGAAATAGAGCAGCTGGTAAATTTTACACAACTTGTATTTTTCTTGTCTTGATATCACCATTGTAGTACCCATCACCCTATTTCAATACCCTAAGAAGCACACTCGGGCATGCAAAAAGAAGTTAATAATCTTGCACTTGCAAATGGAGAAAATAGAATGGGTACACAATACAATTAACTTGCTAGAGACAATCGAGTAATAGTAGAAAGTACACAAACAATGCCCTAAGTTGATAACAAAAACTCAATAATTCATACTTCAAGGAAAATTTTAATAAAATTGTGTAACGTAAGAAGCCCTATTGAATGTGTGTGTAAACATTGTTCTTTATCACTCAAAAGTTGAAAGATGAACTAGAAAATGTGGCTTTGAAATTACACAATCTCACAAAAATCTCTCAATCCCTTTAAAAGAAGCTTAGCAAAGTTTAATTGGCATTCTTGAATTGTTCCCCAAATAAAATTCTAATGGTTAATGTTTTGAACATTTAAAAAGAAAATTCAAGGGAAAAAACTCTCAAGTGGAGAATATAAACAGATATTTATCCCAAAAAAAGAAAAAAAAGTTACTGATATTTTATATGTGCATCAATAGTAGGAAAATAGTCCATAACAACATATAACATTGTAACCTAAACCAACTTTTTCTATGTTTCATCTAAACAAATAAATTGAAGTTGCAAAATTCTGTAATTCTAGAAATTGTACCCTTTTTTTCTATTAAGAAAAGGTGACTCATTATATTAAGCAAGATAGTTTCAAACACACATCACACGTGCATACCATTCTAATCATGAATAAAAATAAATAAATAAATAAATAAGAACAATTCGGCAATCATTCTAAGGGCCCTCAACTGATACATCAAATTTTGACAAATAGAATTTTTAATCCCAAGCAAAGCATCAGCTATTCTATGTAAGATTAAGCTCAAATCAACTGAACGTCACCAATCCACCCATCAAAAAACAGAAAATTACTCGGTCATGACAGAAATACAATAGAATCTCTGAGTTGTGTGGGCAAGCATGGTCAAAACAACTTATAGATCACATTAATAGATCATAGAAAATCATTGAAACAATAACAGATTAACTGAACTAGATAAATGTTTGGAGGAGAAGTCAGGTGTTCATAAACTGTAAAACATATCAAGAACAAGTACATTGGGTATATGTATATATAGATTTTCTTTCATAACAACAAGTACATCAGGTATAACCCATATAAGCAACTATATATCTAAACTGTAGAAGATAAACCTTACCAACATTAAATTTAATTTATACATTCTTAAGAGGATTATAGAAACTGACCTTCTGAAGTTTCACAAGAACAGGAATGGAATCAGTTTAAATAATCGTACTAACAACAACTTCCACTTTATCTTCACTAGATGAGAACTTATCTGTCATTACCAACAAAAAACGAAGTCAATGAAGGTTTCTTGTCTCAAAACAACAGAAAATTGAGATTTACCACAACTTTATGAAATTCCTCAAGATTGGTTGCAAGTGTTTCCCAATGAGAACTCATTACCAGCACAATTCCTTTTCCCTTAACTTTTGAATTGGACTTATTTACTTCCTTGAATAATATATAACCAATAATTGTATTGCCATCATACCTACCATGAACAGAGGAGTTATCAATAGTGATCACGGTCATATTTACAATAAGACTACAAAGAAATAACCAGTATGCAGTTATTTTGAAATCTCCTCCAATCTTATCTTTGCGGAAACAAGAAAGTTTAGTTCCACTTTTTATTGCAAATCAGCATGCACCCAATTGGAGCAGTACCCAAGCCACCAATAAAAAAATTACAGCATATAGGATTACTGCAACACAACCAAAACCAAAAAGGACGAAAGTGACACCTTCTGCTATAAAAAAAAAAAAACCAGCAACTGCATAAGACAGAACAGCTTACGTCCTCTTGGAACAGAGTAAAAATCAGAATCAAATACACTACAGAATTCCAAAAAATAATTAGAACAAATATTTGCTAATGGCATGAGAACCACAATTACTGATGCTAATACTACAAGAGAAACCAAAACATCAATTGAAACTGAAAATATATGGAATTACTGACATTATCCATCAAATATAAATGTACAATAATATTGGACAATTTTTCAGTTCAAAAGGGGGGAAAATGAAGGCACGCCTTTTCTCTTTTTGGTAATTGATAATAATAACCATAAACCCTTATAGCCAGGGACATGGGTAATGACATCATTTTTCTTTATGAGTATCAAATCAAACGAATACGTAAACAACACATGAATTGAAATCATAATGACAACTAAATTGATTGCAATTATCACCACATAGTAACGTTTACATTACAGAGAGACTACAAATTGCTAGGGGAATGCAGAGATGAAAGAGGAAATTAGAAAATAGTACCTGGGTTAGAGAGGGTTAGGGCTTATCCTCCATGCTTGAAGAAATAACTTCTGTGATTGAATAAAAAATAAGAAAATCCATGAGAGTTTAGAGAAGGAAGAAAGTAGAAGAATAGAGATCGATGAAAGTTCAGACAAGGAAGAAAGGATAAGAAGGTTACTTGGGCAATTTTACTCTGAAGGCGAAACTGCGAAAGACGAAGCTCCAGGCAATCCTCTGTGATTGAGGCAAAGTCGTGTTTGGTTAGAGAGGGTTAGGGTTTCGTTGATGGATTCAAAAGAGAGGGTGCTATGTTTTGTTTGATGGATGTCAGCGGAAGATTGAGAGTAGCACTGAAAAATAAAATAAAAAATTCAAAAAAACGTAACGCTAACATCTATCTAATTTCAAATTACCTTTCTCTGGAATCTTTTGAAGTTCATATATTAACAAACACTGAATAAGGGGTTAGTTTAGAGAATTTTATATTTTCATTTAAGGGATAAAACATTAAATTCTTCTTTCTTTAACGAGAAGATAATTTTATTATTTTTTTGGACAGGGGGATAGTTTGCATACTCATCAGACATGTTTCTTATGCCATTGGTTTAGTTCTAAATTTTACTAGATAGCATTCTTGAAATTACTAGATAGCATTCTTGAAATTTTTGAACTCATCGATTCATAAATGTATATAACTATATAGGACCTTAAAAAAGGGTTACCAACCTACCGATACATTGAAGGTTCAACAGTATAGAATTGAAATTAAATTTATTCAAGTTTGAATTATTTCTCTTTAAAAATGTGTATATTGTCATTTCCGGTTTTTGATGATGTCTTGTCAAAATGAAAGTCTAGTTGTTGTTGTAAGAAGCTTCTTATCCTTTTTTTGTTTCTTTTTTTCTCTGTGGAGTTGCTTCCGGATTGTTTCTATTGTTGCTTGCATCCAGTTATTTCGATAGTGTTTTACACTCTTCTTTTCCTTTGTGGCATTGCATAAGCTTCCTCCAAACTGGTTGATTGTAAAATAGGTTATTCTCTGTGGAGTTGCTTCCGGATTGTTTCTATTGTTGCTTGCATCCAGTTATTTCGATAGTGTTTTACACTCTTCTTTTCCTTTGTGGCATTTGCATAAGCTTCCTCCAAACTGGTTGATTGTAAAATAGGTTATTCTCTGTGGAGTTGCTTCCGGATTGTTTCTATTGTTGCTTGCATCCAGTTATTTCGATAATGTTTTACACTCTTCTTTTCCTTTGTGGCATTGCATAAGCTTCCTCCAAACTGGTTGATTGTAAAATAGGTTACTGATGTAATGAAAATGTTCTCTTCATTTGGAAAACTAATTTCTTACACTTCAAAATATCTCAACCCCTTTTTCTTTTCTTTTCCTTCTATTTATAGAGTTTTACAAGTATTCTAGAAGTTTCTAATTTTATCTCCCATGCTGGGCCAATCCCTTGGGCTTTTCTTTGGGGTATGGATCCACTTCCTCTCCCTTGAGATTGGGACTAGAGATCATCTTAACGAGGATGGGTCATCCGATTAGGTCAATAGCTATCTCCTGGTCCAGTCCTCCATTAGATGGGTCACACCCAACCCATTTTATTTTTGGTATCTTCACCTACCCCCTAATCTCTCCCTAATTGATTAGGGTGAGATTACCGAAGAGAACTAATAATGACATGACTACTCGAGGCGGTGACGTGTGGAAGTGAACGGTTGGTTCAGAGGCCCATGTTTTGAAATTTGAAATGCCATCATTGTCTTGACTCTTCGGTCATTGAACCCTTTTTCCTTTAAAACCCCTGATCTCACACTTTCATGCTTTTCTTCTATCTCTCACATCTTTTTCTTCGGGTATTAATTCCTTTGATCCTTTCCGTCAATAACTAGGTTCTTTCCAACGACTCTTTCTTTTGTGATTCTTCGTCTTCCAATCTGCTGTGGTGTGTTCATCAGATCTTCATCTTAAGGTTAGTCTCAATACCCTATAACTTCTCAAAAACTCTACTCTCTTTTATTTTAAAAAAATAAATCTGAGGATTTCATCCATCAATACAATGGTTCCTGACTTAGAAACTCTTCGTTTGAAGTACGAAATACCCAGCGATGAGGGTTTGGATGAAAGAACTAGTGAGGGTCTTCTTCTCAAAGAGATCCTCCTCTCCCTTATCCACTTAAACATAATCAGGTTCCCTTGGCATCCGTTCTTCTGCTATGTTTTTAATAAACTAGGAATTTCCCCTCTTCAAGTTAATCCCAATTTTCTTAGGGTAATATCAGTTCTCTTGATTTTAAACTGCGATAGAAATCTAGATCTTGACATCCTGGACCTTCTTCTTTGCTACCGAGTTACTAAAATCAGGACCAATGATATGTACTTCCACTTCTTTCCCCTCGAAAAATTATCCATATGCACGGATAAGCTTGCCTCTGAAAAAGGTTGGAAAAGTAATTTAATTCGGGTTAGTGGAGCTTGGCAGACTCCAATCGCTTGGATTTTTCCTATCCCGACCACTTTTGGGGAGTGCTCTGTCCCCTTATACAAAAAGTTTAAGAAACATAAGAGTGATTACCCTTGTGAAATTTGTCTTTCGCGCTTCTGCACTTTCCTTTGCCGTTCCCTTGGCATTCCTCACGATGAATTGGTTTTCAGCGTTTGCAGGCCAGAATTAATTTCCTGAAGGAGAAGCTGCCAAACGTCATTCCTTCTGCTTCTGATCTGCTTACTCCGAAAAATCTTTCTGACATATCAATTTTATGTACTACTCCGAAAAATCTTTCTTTCGTTCAGCACAAGGAGGAACCCTTCAGGAACTATTCCTGCGGCTACTCCAGTTGTTCCTGTTGCTTCTCCGAATCCTGGCCAACCTATTTCCGAACCTATTAGATCTACTCCAACCAAGATTCCACCCACCATGCCGAATGAAAATGCTTTTGAGGCTTCTCCGTCAACTGTTTTGGATATTGAGGACTCTCCTCCCGTTCGAACAACTGTTTCGGAAAAAATCCTGGGCAAAAGACCCCAACTAAAGGGTGGGTCAGAACAAGAGGACGTTCCTTTGTCTCAAAGGGCTAGGATCTTTAGGGTCACTATTGCCCCTCTCAGCATCATAGGTGTCCAATTCTGGAAACGAGGCAGTAAGAACTTTAGCCTCTCCCTTAGCAGTGGTTCTATGGTGTCCCACATTCAAACGGGAGGATGGAACGATTGTGGCTCCCACAGATTCTGTGCTCAAGGATGGTGCCACTTCTTTTGCTTTCTACAAGTGCATGTGGACCCCAAAGAACCTAAAAATTCAAAAAGAAATAACCACCAAGGAAATGTACAACCGTTTTCCCTCGGCTGCTATGGAGCTAACCCTTTTTATTCCTTTAACAAACTTTCGTTTTTCCTTTCAAATTCGTATTGAATGTAGCAGAATGCTTGTGTCATTATGCAGACTTTGTTCGGGACGATCACCATGCAAAGGCATCTTGAGCTAGCCAATAGGAAAATAAAAATTTCTCTCCTTCGGGCTTGACACTACCGTCAAAGGTATGAATGCAACAGAGGCAAAAAATGAAGAACTGTTGGCCAAGCTAGCTGACTTAGAAAAATAAAAAAATGATCTGAAAAATGAGAGAGACACTCTGAAGAGTGAGAGGGACTCACTTCACGATGAGGTGGATGATCTGAAGACTGAGAAAAATGTCATGCAAACTGAGAGAGATGTCCTGAAAGTTAAGAAGGGAAACCTCTAGCGCTCTTTAAGCTCTGAGCAGTTCATCCGGTCGGCTCTTGAACAAAAATCTTCAGATAAGCGTACAGCTTTGCTAGGTATTATGAGTAGAGTTGATGGTGGTATGAAAGCTCTTCATGTCCGATTTTCCCGGATTGGGGCTCTCAGATATTCCGAAGGATACAGAGACGGTTTTATAGATCGTTCTCCTCCTGAAAGTCAAACGAGCTCCTATGCTGGTCTGGACGATGTTGATGCATTCTTGAAGATTGACCCACCGAATGATTATACTGATCCGATCCCTGATCCTGCTGAACATATCTTCATAGAATGTAAGGAAATTGTGTCCTTCGGGGATATCCCTATCATTCCTATCAATCGTCCTCTGAGTGTCTCTCCGTTGTTCCTCCTGCCGTTGCTACTGATGACAGAGTTATGTCGATCGAGGAGGTTATTCACCTTGATTCTCCCTCCAGAGGTGATGAGGCGGTCAATGATGGTGAGGAGGATAATGGATCAGCCAAAGGAGATGAGAGGACGGATTAGAATCTCATGGACCTCTGTGTTTGCTTCATTTCATCCTGTTATTACTTTTTGTAAACCTAGAATCTCTTATAGTGATGAATGAAATGAGAATTTTAATCTTGCCAAATGTTTGTAGTTCGGCTTGTGCTTGTCTATTTTCCACTTGACTTTTATTTATGCAAGTATTTGGCGTTTGGCTCATAGTGCCATTTGCCACTTACTTGGTTAAGTGCTTGGCGCTCGACAAGAATGCCACTTGCCACTTAGCTTTTATTAGTGCAAGGGTTTGGCGTTCAGCTCATAGTGCCATTTGCCACTTACTTGTTTAAGTGTTTCGCGCTCATCTAGAATACCACTTGCCACTTAGCTTTTATTGGTGCAAGTGTTTGGCGTTCGGCTTATAGTGCCATTTGCCACTTATTTGTTTAAGTGTTTGGCGCTCGGCTAAAATGCCACTTGCCACTTAGCTTTTATTAGTGCAAGTGTTTGGCGTTCAACTCGTAGTGCCATTTGCCACTTACTTGTTTAAGTGTTTGGCGCTCGGTTATAATGCCACTTACCACTCAGCTTTTATTGGTGCAAGTGTTTGGCGTTCGGCATATGGTGCTGATGTGTGTTTTTATTTACCAATAATAAAATATCACTCGCAATAGCATGAATCTTTATAGGATAGTACTATATAGAGGGTGTCGATCCCACAAGGAGATGAGTGTTATTTGCTTCATTTTTAACTAATCAAACTTATTTCTTGGTTTACAGGTAACTGGTTGAATTGATTGATTGATTGGTTGTCACAAACATAAAATAAAATTAAACTGAAATTAAACTAAAGTGATCAGAGAGAGAAAGGTCTTAGGACTTTAACTTCACCATAACCTCTATACTATGGTTAACTATTTCAACTCTGGGGATTTAACAATTTATATTTCAAATGAATTGAACTCAATAACATTCGTTCAATTTGGTTTTAAAGAAAGATGTTTTATAAATTGCAGTTAACTATAACCTATCTGCGGTTAGCATGGACTATCCACCTACCCACTTTAACTAATTTTGTAAACAATCCATCTTTCCTAAGCATAGACTATGAAAACATTCATTTATAAAAAACATTGGAATATCATTACATGATCTCCATTCTTATGTCCGGCAAGGCTCCGCCAGATACCGTCCAA